GACTTGAACTGTGGTCAACTACATGAGAGTCCAGCGACATAGCCATTATGCCTACTGCTAGTCTCAGAAACAATTTTTTTTTTTTTTAAGTTTTACCTTGGGACCAGCAGTTAGAGTAATGACTATGTCGCTGGACTCCCATGTAGTTGACTGCGGTTCATGTTCTGGACCTGGTGGCTTAAAACTCACGCCAGGCGCATGTGCGTGCATGCCCAAGATCCTGAGATGCATGCCCAAGATCCCGAGAGAAGAACGGAGGAGGAGAAGGGATTAAGGCATGGCCATCCCCTCTGCAGGGTGATTTCTTGCTTTCTGTCTCTCTGTCTCTGTCTGTCGAGTGCTTGTGCCCTATAGCAAAAATCTCTCCAAAAAAAAAAAAAGAAAGTTTTATCTTCTGTCCTTCTTGCAAATCTTTGATTGAATCATGACTTCCTTCTTCCAACATGGTGGTGATCATGCAAATGATTTCACAGCCATTGTATAGGATCTATTCTGCCTTGAACACTAGGAATAGGATTGCTAGATAAATGGAGAATGGTGGTGGCATGGTGGCTAAGGTGCTGGACTCTCACATGTTTGACTATAGTTTGAGTCCTGGATCTGGATATTTGAAAATCACTAGGCACATGTGTATGCATGCCCAAAAATCTCAGGAGGAGAATGGAAGAGAAGGGACTGTGGCATGGCCATCTACTCAAGGGGGGTGATCAGTTTTTCACTTTACCTCTCATTGGTGAATGCACACACATTATGGCAAAAGTCTTAAAAAAAAAAGATGCTCGTTTGAGTATTAGATAACTGTTAGTGTAAATTTGTTCTAAAAAGTCTGAGCCATACTTCTAAGAATTATTTATTGTTTATCTGAAATTCAATTTTAATTGGGTACTTATATTTTTATTTGCTAAATCTGGCAATTTTAAATATGAGAGACTTGCCCAAGAAAATAATTATATAGGACCAAATAATCAATTGCCATTAAAAATCACCAAGGAGCTAGTCTCGTAGTGGAATGGAGTGCTGTGTATCAGGAAGTGAATCCCACATGGCTGACCCTGGCCCTGGCAGCTTGAAAAACACACTGGGCATGTGTGTGTACATGCCCCAAATCCTAGCAGTATGGAGAAATGGTGGAAAAAGAATTGTAGCATGACCATTGACCATTGTAGAGTGCTCTCTCTCTCTCTCTGGCAAGTTCACATGCCCTCTGGCAATATAGTTGTATCAACTCTGTATCAAACAACCATAAAATCTCAATGACCTACAACAATGAACATTTATTTAGCTTAGACATCTGAGGATAGGCTGATGTAGGCTGGACTCAACTAGAGGGCTTGGTGTAGGCAGTTTTGTTCCATGAGTCACTCATCTTCTTGGGAACAGTGAGCTAGCCTGGGCATGCTCTTGTCATGGTAATGGAAGAAGCACAAGAGGTCTTGGAACTGGCACACCATCACTTTTATGTTACATTCTTGGCCAAAGTGAAAGGATGAGAAAGTGTACTTGTGTCTTTATAGAGGTAATTATAGATGTAATGTCCCTTTAGTAGGAGGTCCCCTTAGTGTCTGCAAAGACATAGAGTTAAAGGTATAGGTACAGGGTGAAGAATTAGAGCCAATTGGTCAATGTCCCAGGGGTGTTAAGAGGTCAGGGTTGGGGGCCTGTAGGTGGCATGATGGTTGGGACATTAGACTCCCATATGGCCAATCGCAGTTCAAATCCTGGACCTGGAGGCTTGAAAATCACTAGGCACATGTGCACGTGTGCCCAAAATCCTAGGAGGAGAATGGAGGAAAAGGGACTTCCATGTGGCCATCCCCTTTAGGGGGTGATATTTTACTTTCCCTCTCATTGTCTCAGTTTCTCCAGTGAGTGCACATGCCCTCTGGCAAAAACCTTGGGAATAAAAAGGAAAAAGAGGTCAGGTTGAGGATTAGTAGATCATGTGGAGGTTAAGGTGGCTGGATCCCACATGACTGGTTGTGTGGTTTGAGTCTCAGACCCAGTGGCTTGAAAATCATGCCAGCCATGTATGATGTGTGTCCAAAATCCTGAGAGGAGAAGGGATTGCAGCATGGCCATGCCCCTTAGGGGGTGATTTTTTATTTTCTTTTTCTCACTCTCAGATGAACACAAATGCCTTCTAGCAAACTATAAAACGAAACAAAACAAAAAGTCAGGACTGATATGGTTGAAATAACCAGGGAAGGTTTGGTGGAAGAGGAGACATGAGGGCAGGTGGGATTTGAGTGAGAGGAAAGGAGCAACATGAACAGTCTCTAAGATCATTATCCACTTGCCTTGGAACCAGCAGTTAGCGTAGTGGCTATGTTGCTGGACTCCCATGTAGTCAACTGTGGTTCGAGTCCCGGATCCAGTGACTTAAAACTTATGCTGGGCACGTGTGCATGTGCATGTGTGCCCAAGATCCCGAGAGGAGAATGGAGGAGAAGGGATTGTGGCGTGGCCATCCCCCCTGGGGGGGGTGATTTCTCACCTTCTATCTCTCTGTCTCTCTGTCTGTCAGGTGAGCACACACGCCCTATAGCAAAAACCTCTCAGAAAAAAAAAAAAATTATCCACTTGCCTTTCCATTCTACTCTCTACCCTTCTCCATCCTGCCCTTTCCCTTGAGGTTGACCTCCATGAACCTGCATTAATTCATTAAGCAATATGTTCCAAAGCAAAACAGAAGGTAGGGCTCTCGTTTATCCTGCTCCAAGAGCAGGTGATCCTATCTTTTAGGGTAGGGCCCCTAACCTCTAGGCTGAAGAGCTCCTCTCATCCCTGGCCTTCTACTAGGCTGGTCCCTGGTGCTGGGAAGGTTTGGGACTGCTGCTTTAGCATACCCCTGAAGTTGAGGAGCTAGGGCTCATGAACTTGGTTTGGTTTGGCACTCATGGCAGTGTGAAAAAGCACCTCCTCCGGGACCAGCAGTTAGCGTAATGGTGATGTCACTGGACTCCCACGTAGTCGACTGAGGTTCACGTCCTGGACCTGCTGGCTTAAAACTCATACTGGGCGCGTGTGCGAGCATATGTGGCCAAGATCCCAAGAGGAGAATGGAGAAGAAGGGATTGTGGCATGGCCATCCCCCCTGGGGAGTGATTTCTCACTTTCTGTCTCTCTGTCTTTCTCTGTCTGGCGAGTGCATGCGCCCTATAACAAAAACCTCTTTA